AAACATTTAAAAGATTTTTTTTAGGACAACTGCCGGCTGTGTTCACTACAAATTTATTATTAATAAATATCTACATGATCCCATACATATGATTTAGTTGCTTTAAATTTTCTTTTGTGTTATTTATGTTATATGCATTATTTAATTCTTCGTTCATTAGATGATATTTATTAAGCATGTATAATTAATGCGGTTATTTATTTATAAAAAATTGTATACGCTTTTGACACATGAGTATCAATAAATAAATAGCACTTAGCTACTTTGTTAATTTAACAATTTTTGATTCAAAAACATAACTAAATACATATGTAATGAAATGTTTCATAAGTTTTTTTCCGAAAGTGACTGTTCCACAAAATACTATTGCGAAAAAATTCATTTCGACATAAATTTAATTTTTTATGATTATTATAAAAAAGTAAATTTTAATTATTTAAAAATTTTTTGATTCTGAAAATAAAATTTAATTACAAACGATTTCGTGACTTAATGTGACCTTTAATTTTAAAATTTTTATTTTTATTTATTATTTTTAAGTTTGTAATCAAAAACTATTAATTTTTTAACAAAATTTCTCAAACGCTAAAAAAACAAAAAAAACATACATTATACGTAAAAAAAACATACATTTTTAACATATTCGCTTCCAAAAAAGCTAAAATCAACCACTATTTGAGTTGGAAGTTACTGGAAAAGAAAAGATGAAGGTTGTAAAGCAAGATAATGATTGACAGACGACTTAAAAGATTGCAAAATATATGAATCAGGATGCAAGATGAAGGAAGCGAATTCCAAAGAACTGTACGAGGAAAAAAACTAGAGGTATAAGAGTTTTTGGAGCATTTAGGAACACAGAAAAAAGATGAGACTTAATTGAATAATGAGTAACACGAGAATGAATTTTAGTAGATGGCACAAGAGACGCTAGTTCTTTAGAACAGTGCCGATTATAGTATTTGTAAAAAAGAGAAAGAGAAGCAACTTTATGACGATGTGATAATGGTTGGATGTTGCCTGCAAGAGCAGGTTCAATTATGTTTACAATGCGTTTTTGCACCTTGTCTAAAAACGAAAGGGCATCATTAGAAGATCCGCCCCAGATATGACAACAGTATTCCATACATGACCGGACTTGAAGTTTATAAAGTATAGAATCCGAAGTAAGAAAGTGTCGAGCTCAATAAAGAGATGCAACCTTAGCAGATGCTAAGGTTGCATCTCTTGATATATAGTTTTCAAGAAAGATTGGAAGTAAGAGTTAATCCTAAAAGATGAAGGGGTGACGATTAATCGAGTACATTACCGTACATAAATATAGGAATAACAAATTTACTCTTATTATTGATACTGTTAGAGGTTCTACAGAAGTCACAAGAGCCTAATTTTTGGGATGAAATACGAGATTTCATGACCTGTGAATAGCGGGCTATGGCGTTTGACAATACCTTTTTACAATGGTTTTTAGCAGTAATAAACGGACGTCTGTTTTCTGGGTGAATGTGGAGAAACTGAGCACTGACTAGGATCAAAAACAAGACATAAGTCGAGTAGAGAAGGTAAACGATTTGGGTAGTCTGGAAAGCGAGTTGGAAAGTTGACTATTTGATTTAGGGATTGAGAAAGACAAAGGTTAAGACAAAGGTTTTAACGCCAGCAGAGTTACTGACACTAGAGCCAATCCATTCTGTGTGATGAACATTAAAGTTACCAACAACAACAATATTGGCTGATGGATAAAAGGAGAGAGGGCTTGGTCAATTTGATCAGAAATAACATCAAAAAATGTCTTGAGATGAAGGAGAGCGATATAGAACAAAGAGAAAGGCGATAGAGTGAAGTAGTGCTAAACAAATATACATAAAAGAATATTATGTGGATTCAAACCTAGTTTCCCGACAAATGAGTGAACTCTTACGAATGTAAATGCCCAGGCCAAGCATGTGATTATTGGAGTCACTACGAATTAAAGGAAGATTAACATCAACACTAAGATCAAAAGATGAGACAGCTGAACTCAAATTAGTTTCAAAAAGAGCAAGTAGGTCTGGTTAACTTTGCTAGAGTTAAGATTCAACAGAAGTAAAGTTACTTTGAAGACCACGAACATTAGTGAATGATAGGTTTAGAGAGTTTTTGGTACTTAATTCATTTTTAAATTTGTTAAAGAACTTGACTCAAAGCATAGACAGTACTCAGTGCACTGTTTAATAGCCCAAACAATTGCCGCATTGTTATTAATAAACCTTAATCCGTAACAAAGGGCTCCAAATGCGGCCTTGACAATGCACACCAAAAGTACAAACAGGGACACCATCCATGCGCAACATAGCACTGTTAATACTTTGATATTTTTCAGCTGTTGATTGAATCAGCCTCTCTGAGAGCTACCACAGAGTTTAGGAAACTTGACTACCAGCCGGCCTCAGAGCCATAAAACTGAGTTTTTGAGCTCTACCTTCATTAGGCAATAATAGAATGGGTTCTTTAGTCATAAAAACAGAGACACAAGCAAAACTCATGCATTGAGTCAAGAAAATCCAGCTTTCCAACTTCCCATGTTCAGCTTGAAGAAGATCCAGCTTCTCAAGCTTCAGTTTGAAGAAGAAGATTTAGCTTCCCAAGATGTTAATTCAGCCTCTCTCAGAGAGGCTGATTCAACATCTGCCCAAGATGAGTATTTTTATCGAGACATCATCTCTAGTCTTTGCTCAACCAAGAGTCCCAAGGCAGTGGGTGTTTTAAGTCGGAGTTGACTTCTCCTAGCCTTTTCCTAAAAGAGCGTTTTCTACATGACAGCATCACATGAAGCAAATTGTACTGGGTTACATGATACCAGTAGCAGGATAATCTGACCTGACAACTGAATCTAACTTGTCAAAAATAATCACTAAGTCTTATTAAGCGCTACATATTATTCACCATATATCACTGAATATAATCAATGTAATCTCATTTCCAGACTGAGTATAATACATTTCCAGATTGTTAAAATTCGCAATATAATATTATGAACTAAAATAAAAATAAACATACAGTATTACAATAGAAGAGTTCTAAAACATGAAAACTGAAACATGTTAAATAGTTCACTAAAATTAAAAAGTTAAACAATTGCTTGTCGATTAAAAATAAATAAATAAATAAGAATATACATTAAATGTATACATATACTAATATAGATAAAGGATTTTCAAAAATTTGAAAGTAGAGTTTTTTAAGATTTTGTTGAAAAGAATAAAAATTACATTCTAGAGAAAAATCTTTTAAAGTATTTAGAATTATACTTTCCATAAAAATGGTCCACGAAATGAAATAAAAAAATTTCTAAAATTAGTTTGTGAAAATGGTTGTTAAATTAAATTATCGTTCCTTAATATTTATTTATTTCTATCTCTTTGTAAATACAAGTTACGAAAAGAAATGAGTGATAGGTGGGTCTTGCATTTATACATAGAACAAGGAATATTAAAAACATTTAACTCATATATATTGAGCGCTTTCGTATCATATAAAAGAGGCTAGGCGTAAGCAAAACGGTCTTTAAAATTTATAAGCCGTGCTACATACTTCTGTTGCCGATAGAGAGGTTTAAGTTTACTTTTATAAATGCTACCCCAAGCAATGTTTGCATAGTTAATATGGCAACGAACTAACGAATAAAATGATTGAATTCATCAAGAACGTTTCTTATTTTATATAAAATGCCTATACTCTTTGAAATTTTACTGCCCAAGTTAGCAATGTGGTTTTTCTATCTTAGATTTTCATCAATATATGCATCTAAAAATCTTGTCGCTTGAACTCTTTTAATAATATAATAATTTAATAATTATGTTATCGTTAAAAAGAAAACGTAAGTTGCTAGGCAGCCGATGTTTTTTTACCATAAGGATGAAAAAAAACCCATTTAGTTTTATCAGTATTTAATGATAGTTTGTTTAATCTAAACCATTTGGAAATTTTGACTAGTTCAATTTTCATGTTGCTTAAAAGTGTCAAAATGTTGTTATGAAAAAGAAATAAGTTTAAATCATCAGCAAACATAATTGTTATTAGGTTAGAAGCTCTTGGTAAATCATAAATATATATTAGAAATAGGAGAGGTCCTAACATGGATTCTTGAACTCCACATGAAATATTTAATAAATTAGATGATACGTTATCATCCGCATAAACAAATTGTTTTTGATTATTTAAGTAAATTTTTAGCCAGATAGATATATTTCCAGCATTTCCGTACCACTCCAATTAAAAAAAAAAAATTAGTGATCAATAATATCAAAAGCTTTCGCCAAGTCAATGAAATTACCCAAAGTAAATTAAGGATTTTCAAATGAGTCAGATATATTTCTTGTAAATTGTAGAATGGCATGTTCAGTAGAATTGTTTTTTTGGAATCCATATTGATTGCTGTATGATAAATTGTTTATAGTAAGACGACAATAAATTTTATTATAAAAAATTCTTTCTAAAACTTTAGAGAATACAGAAAGTAGTGATAATGACAATATTAAGCTTTATTTATTATTTGCAACTGGACTCGAAAACCAGTTACTTTACTAGAACACACTCGGCCGTAGACTCGGCCTGAGGGAAGAAGGAGAAAAGATTATATTAGAGTAAGCATTAAAAATAAAAAATGTTGGACAGATGTCCAGTATAAAAGCACAAAATTTAAGCAAAATAATTTAGGTTAATTATAATTTACAAATTTTTTATATTTCACCAGTAATTTAGTAAAACCTAAAAAAAAACAAAGCAAAATAGAGCGCAATTAAATGAGCCCAATGAGTTCTTAAGTGGTTAGTTTTGCCACTGCTTTTCTAAACACTATAGTGCTTTGTGAGTTTTGTATGATTTATTTTTTTGATAAAGTTTCAAATATTTATAATATAGTTAATAAGGAATATAAATTTTGACAACTTGTCACTACCCTATATTTATCATGCGATCCGAATAAAACCGGGACTAAAACAACCCAACTCCGGTTGTTTTAACTACATATAAGTTACTCCGAGACCGTGGAAATATGGCAGCTTGTTTACAAATGATGTCGAGATTAACAACGATTTCTATATAGTATAGGTAAGTAAAATTATGATATAAACTAAAGGTAAGTAAAGTTATAGTATATAAAAATTATGATAACACTAATGCCAAAAAATAAATTTCCAGCTTTAATAAATTATTTGAGCAAAGCAGCTTTTTGTAGTACTTTTTATAATTTTTTTCTTCTTAGATCGAGTTAATTCTCACAGTTTATTTAAATTCATAGTAGAATAAATTAAATTTTAATTAAATTTTTCAATATTCTCAATATTATTTATTTAATTTATATATATATATATATATATATATATATAAATATATATATATATATATATATATATATATATATATATATATATATATATATTATATATATATATATTATATATATATATATATATATATATATATATATATATATATATATATATATATATATATATATATATATATGTATATATATATATATATATATATATATATATATATATATATATATATATATATATATATATATATATATATATATATATATATATATATATATATATATATATATATGTATATATATATATATATATATATATATATATATATATATATATATATATATATATATATATAGAGAGAGAGAGAGAGAGAGAGAGAGACTTTTTAAACATAAAGGAATATTTATTGGCAATCTTTCATTATAAAAATAATAAAACAAAAGATTATTTGTAATATTTTTAAAGTTATAAAAGTTTTATTAACACCCCTTAAGTAAATTGAAAAAAAAAACAAGAAGTTGTCCACCTTGAAACAGCTGTGATATATATATATATATATATATATATATATATATATATATATATATATATATATATATATATATATATATATATATCACAGCTGTATATATATATCAAGGTAGACAGCTTCTTGTTGTTTTTTTTCAATTTACTTAATAAAACTTTTATAACTTCTAAAATATTACAAACAATCTTTTGTTTTATTATTTTAATAATGAAAGATTGCCAATAAATATTCCTTTATGTTTAAAAACTCTTCACAAACAAGATATACAAATAATATAAGCAAAAAAATAAATGTATTTTTTGCTTGTATTATTTTTGACATTCAGCAAATTAATCTAAAATTTAAAAAGGTATACAAATAATATAAGCAAAAAAATAAATTTATTTTTTGCTTGTATTATTGACATTCAGCAAATTAATCTAAAATTTAAAAATGCACAGATTTGATGATTAAAGCTGAATTAGATAAATTCTTGCCACTTTTTATCAAAAATAATTTGAAAACCTATATTTTGATATAAGTTTTTTCAATAAAAATATTTTTAGATTAATTTAAAAGCCAAAAATCTTTCTTTAAACCTATTGTGAACAGATTTAGGGAATAATAGTCAGACAAAAATACCAAAAAAAATATATATATATATAAATTCAAGATACTTTAACCCAATATTGCATAATGTTGCCAAATGGCAACATATCTGTCAAAAACCAACATCTCCTTTCTTTTAAAAAACTAGCTGTCTGGACCCGTAAAATATGGGTCTTAATAAATCTATTCCACACCGTTTTTTTCTATACTTATTCCTTACTTCAATAGTTTTTAGTAAGCAGTAGAAAAATAACTATATACATATAGAAAAACTATACTTATAATTTCCTTTTTAAAAATTTGAAAAAAAAAAATTCTATTATAGTTAACTTTTAAAAACTTTAAAAATTTTGTTAGTTGTTGCGCAAATCACTATTTATCAACAAATTGGATATTAGTACCTGTCTTTATAATATTTAAAATACCCGGTTGAAATGTGTTAAATAATTACAATAGGTATAAAAAGTTTCAAAATACAGGAGGAAATAGACTTAAATACATGGAATAACAGACTTATCATGACCCGTTTAATACTGGTCATGGTAAGTCTATTCCACACCAATCACTTTAATAATTTAAATAATTTTTTTTCAATAACTTTAAATAAATTTTTAAAAAGAGCAAAAATCCTTGTTTTGACGATTGATGTTCAATATTTTATAACTTCTTATTGTAAATTTCTATCCAAATAAATGGGGACAGACCTTATTTTTTTTTTCTTTCATAAGTTTCTATTAATTTTTTTCAGACCATCTGCAGCTTATTAGGATTCTTGCCCTGTTATTTTTGAAGAAAATTGAAGTTTCTTCAAAATTAACAGGGCAAGAATCCATTTCATTTTTTATAGTATTTTTAGAACAGTGGCGTATTCGCCCCAGAGGTTACATGGGAATATCATATGGGCCTTAATTTTTTTATCTTAGAAGGTCCTTATAAATATTTCCAAAAAAAGATATTTTTCTATATATTAATTAAATGATCGACAAATATTTTTTTAGTCACTATATTTATGCTTTGACAAATTAATTTTTTAATTATCTGATTTAAAGTGCTAAACTTTGAGCTTTATTATATTAGCATTTTGCATAATAAAATGCAAACATTATCTAATGTTGCGACATTAGATAATATTTGGTCTTATAATATTTGAGGCTAACGACCTAATAATTTATAATATTTGAAGCTAACAGTTTAAACAGGCAATTGCAATTACTTTTTTCGCAATATTTTTTACGATACGCATACATTTGTTTCATCATTAATAGCATTTAGTCTATGTGTTTTTTTTTAAACATCTTCACTTCCACCAAGGCTGAAAGCCACCACTATTAGAGTTTGAAGTTACTGGATAAGAAAAGACGAAGTTTTTAAAGCAAGATAATGATTAATAGACGACTTAAAAGATTGCAAATTATTTGAATCAAAAAAAAAAAGTTGAAGGGAGTGAATTCTAAAAAATTTTAAGGAAAAAAACTAGACAAATAAGAATTTTCTGAGTACTTAGGAACAGTTAGAGTAAAAGGATAACATTTAAATAAATGACAAATAACACAAGAATAAATTTTAGTAGATAGCACAAAAGATGCTAGCTCTTTAGAGCAGCGCTCATTATAGTATTCATAGAAAAGAGAAAGAGAAGGAACATTACAACAATGTGACAATGGTTGAAGATTGGCTGCAAGAACAAGTCCAACTATTTTTACAATGCATTTTTGCACCTTGTCTAAAAGAGAAAAGGCATCATTTGAAGTTCTGCTCCAGATATGACAATAGTATTTGATACAAGGACAGATTTGAGATTTATAGAAATAAAAAATAGAATCCAGAGTAAGAAAGATAAAGAGATGCAACCTTATCAGATGTTAATTTTACAACAGATTGACATTTGTATGTGCATACAAATAATGACATTTGTATGTGCATACAAATAATTAAAGTAATATTAATCAATAACAATTAAAATTTACACTTATTAATTAGTTAACTAGAAGTACCTGAGAAAATTTAAAATATCATGGTATATTAAGTCAAAAATTTCGTGATTTTATGGACAACTCCTTAGGAAGGCATCAAACATGTGCTCTGCTTGCGTTTAGAATTTTAATCTTTCTTCTTTGTGTTTTTCATATTTGAATTATTTTTAAAAGGATATTAATTAAGCTGTTTAAAAAGTAATGGGGTAACTTTTACTTCAAATAGCAATACTTTTACTTGAGTAGAAAATTTTGTTACTCTTTGTTACCTCTGATTGCCATGTATCATTAGAAAGAGCTTCATTACAGTATTTTAAAGTTAAAAAAAATTATAAAAGTTGAACGATTTTACAAAAAGTTATGGCATTTTAATTACCAAATTTTTGATATATAGGTTTGTTAAAGAAATGGTGACCAGAGTTTTAGAGTTTTTCATAAGTTAATATGTCATAAATTTGTCAGTTCTATCCAAATTCATATAACTTGGTATCAAAAGTCTTTGATGCGAGAATTAGTATATAAAATGATGCATTTTTTTATCCATCAGAGGGGCAACTACAACACCCTCTAATATGTTTAAAATCTATATTTTTTAAAATAAAATCTTATTTTTTTATTGAAATTCACCATTAAATATGATTGGGATGCCTTAGGTTGGGTGGATAGAAGTTTATTTCCCAATGGGCACCCTTCATCCAGAGGATGTCTGCTGGATGTACAAACATTTATAAGATGTCCAACAGATGACACATGCCCACTGGGTTGGCTATGGGTGGTAATAGATGTGCCCTCCTTTCCAATATCAATGTCAAATCTTTGTATTTTTGTATCTAAATGATACAAAAATACAAAGATATTTTGTATCTACCATTTAGTCCCTAAAAAAAGAAATGTTTTATGGATAAGATGTTTTAAAAAGAATAATTTGACAACCTTCCTCCACCCCCCCCCCAACCTCAGGTAGATGGGGGAAAGACAAACATTAACTTTATTAAATAACAATATTTATAAAATAACACATTTTTTTTATTGCAAAAAAATAAACTAATAACCAGGGTTGGGGTCAATTACATTTGATCAAATATAAATACAATTACAAATAAGTTAATAAGAAAATTGCACTCAGCATTTTCCAAATACAAAAATTTGTAATTTAGGTTATGAAAAAATATAAAGATTTTTTCTTAAGACTAGACTAATAAAATGGTCTACTAAATAGAAAGATAAAAACAAGTCTTCTAACAATTATCCTTTAAAAAGAAATTTTTAACTTATTTTATAGCAGCCTATAAGATAGTCAATGTAGCAATGGTCCTTACATGTTTTAGCTATTTGTCAGTCAATATAGCAACACTCCTTGCATGTTTTAAAAATATTATAAAACATATATATTTATATACATATACATATATAATACTTAAATACCACTTAGGTGATCTTCCTACATTAAATTTATAATACTATATTCTTTCAAGGTTGCATCAGTCAGTGACAATTATAGAAATCATGTTGTATTTGAAATGTTTCTGGATTAATATTATCATTGTTAACTTGGTATATTTTCTTCATAATGTTCAATCAAGTGAGCTCTTACAGAAATATGATCAATCAAAGGTGGATGGAAGAGTGGATATGTCTAATAATGTTTTTCTTGAAAATGTAAGTTTTTGTCAAATGAAAAGTATTATATATATGGTGTAATTTAAAATTTTATTATAATATATTAATATTGATAGAATATATAATATAAATATTAACAAATTTTACATGCATGTGAAATCAGCATGAAAATATAAAAAGCAGATGCACAAGGCTCGAAATAAGTGATTGCTAATTACAATATCTGGAATATTTATGATCATTAAATTCTCAGTTTATTAAAAGCCCTGAACTCTGCTTTAATAAAACGATCAATTTATCATATTGCAAAAATTAATGAAATAACAAAGCAATAAATTGCAATGACTGCAATTGACTACAATGACTGCGTTGCACAAACAATAAATTGAGTTTAGTGATCAAAACAGAGTTTATGGTTTTTTAAAAACCGTAACTTAATCTCTTAATTTGAGCTCTTATGCAATAAGTTTAATCAAAATACAAAAACAACTTAAAGTTAACAACAAAACAACAAAGTAAAATGGATTAATCGTTCATATTACAGTTTTACAATTCTGAAAGTGATACTTTTTAGGAGGTAATTCTAGACAGATATAGATGTCCATTGTAAGTGATTTTGAAATCTTTTAAAACCATCCGTGAGATTTTCTTCACTTTTAGTTTTTTCCACATTTTTTTTTTAATTTCGCTTATGATTGGTTTTTCATCAAAATGAGGTCCAAAACTTTTTCCCTCAAAAAAAAATTATAAAATAACAAATGAGTAATAATTCTTTGCAAAACTTTTTTATTTTATGCAAATTTGCGTTGTAAGCAATAATTGGTGAGATATTTATGTTTTATAACATGACAGTAAGATTATAAACAAAACTTTATTTTATTTTTTTTAAGGGATCTTGAAGTGCCAAGACATGTTATGTTCATATCATAGATAACCATTAGAAGTATAATGGCAAAATAATAAATGATATGAACACAACTTGTCTCGGCACTTGGGGATCCTTTTTAAAAGTGATAAAAAAACAAAATCAAAATGCCAAGTTCAGCAAAAACACATGAAGACTGCATAAGAACTATATTTTGTAAGTTCTCTATCAGCTTTTGAGGCAATACCTCAAAAGCTGATAGAGAACTTACAAAATGACAAGCATTAAACAAGTTCTACAAAAGGATGTCAATTTCAAAGATGACAGAGTTCCTTTATCATATCAGTGCACTCCTGAAACTCGCCATGAAAATTTGAGAATGATGGCAAAATTTTAACCTATTGGAGTTGAGCAAGTGGCTTCAATGGTTGTGGCAGGCAAGGATTCTGCTCCAAATAGTACCATTCAACTTAGTCAGCCAAGAGAAAATCCTTCACCATTAAGAAGAGGTAAATTTGTTAACTATGGCATTAATAGGTTTTGTCTAATAGACTGTTGTTTAAAAGTTTATCTTTTTCAACAGGATCTTCAGCTCCACAACAACTGTTCAAGGAATCTCTAACAACACTAAATATGTTGCAAATTTAGTAAAACACAGGTCTTTCTAACATCGAGACGAAAAATTTTGGATCTGCTATAAGTCTTTTGAGTCCTGTAAGAATTTTGGAACCTAACTTTCAACATAAATTTGCTCGAATCACGAATCAAAAACGAATCAAAAGTTCAAAAACCATTTACAGTGACAAATATTCAGCTCAGTGAAAGCAATACCTCAAGTCAAGTTGTTCACTGTTGTGATCTTAACAAGCTCAGTGAAATATTCATTTCAGCAAGAAAAATTTCTGCCTCTGCTTATGTGAAACATGGAGTTAATGGAGGAGGAAAATTTCTGAAAGTAGGCTTTACCCTCGAAATGGCTCAAGATAAAGATGATTCTCAAAGCCCACTTCAGAAAACTGTAAGATTAATGGCACCTATATCATCAAAAACTACCAATGTTAAGCAAAAAATGCTGGTAGCAATTTCTTAAGACATATGCCAATGTCAAGTCCATTATTGATCTCATCAAAGTTCAAGAGAAGTGTGCCAAAGATTCTCTGGTTGTCTCATGTGATATGAAGCTTGCCAATAAAATGTGTAGTATACAATCTCATAGCGGCAGGCACCCTTGTTGTTGGTATGACATTGAGTCAACAAATCTCCTTAACTGTTGAAGCCTGAGAACTTATGAACTAAGAACATCCAGCTAGTAAGTTTTTTTGATGTGCAAGGAAAAAAAGCTGGATTGATAAAAGTTTTTATAGCATGAAGGGACAGATACAGTAAAAGGATGCAACTTGTTGAATAAGAACCAAGCAAGAATGAGTTTAGGTTTATTGTAATAGAGATGATAACTTGCATTGACCATGAATTTATAGAAAAAGGAAAAAAATGCAACCTTACAACAATGGGAGAGTGGCTCAAGCTCGGCAGATAAAGCAGGTCTAATTTATTATTATTTTTAATGTTAATTCATCTCCCAAAAACTTAAAATGCCACTATAGACGAGGAGGCTACTTAATTGTGGTTATAACCCTCTCTCAACTATATAACTCTGAAACAATAACCTTGACAATCGAGGCCACTGCGTGAAGAAACAAGTTGAGTGCGGTACTACCAGGGATGTGGTGGGGATTGAACTTGGAACCTCTTGTTATGACAGGATTGCTTTACCACCACAACACAACCGCATTACATTTACAATGTGTTTTTAGACTTTGTCTGAGAGTAAGGTGGTTGTTATTCATCATTATAGGAATACCGTCATTGAAATATTTTTTGCAGTAAATAAATGAGTTTTGTTGTCTAACAAAAATTGCAGATTTAAAGTCCAGAATTTAAATCCATAAGCTACAGCAAGCCTTACACAAGTCACTGCAAGCCTTAGGCTGTTACAGAAGAGAGATCAGATTAAAAATCAGCTTCTTGTTCTAAACAATCAAAAAGTAAAGATTTTTTGTCAAGACAAGAGTATATGTTGAGTCATCAGGGTACCACAAGAGACCTTGTGGTACCCTGAAACTTAGTTGAAATAAAGAAGAGTATAGGCCTTCAAGAATAACTTTATTACTGCAGTTAGTAAGAAATAATTTATTTTTTGTCAGACCACAATATCTATGATTAAACAAAGTAAACTAAGCTATGCTCAACTATTCAACATTATATGGGAACAAATTAAAACAATTCAAAATTTTCTAAAAAGAATTAAATTATTAGAATCAAAAAAAGAAACAGAAATCAATCCAGCTACGTTTTGGTCAAATTTTTCTATAAAAAATAAATCTTTAGAATAAGCTATTGTTGTAAATTCAATTACAAAAAATATATAGACCAAACAAGAAGATAAAATAATAATAATAATAAAAAGAATATTACCATTTTCAGAATTCCAGAATCTAATAATCAATACAAGCATGAAAAAAGAATGATGATAAAAAGTTAATTGATCAGATATTTGAGGAAATTGGTATAAGAAATAAAAAACTAATAATAATAATACTAATAATAAGATTAAAACTAATAATAAGATTAAAAGACAAAAAAAATTCAAAAACTTCTTTGCTCATTATTGCTGTACTTCCTGAAAACAGCAAAATGCAAAAGTTTTACTTGCATCAATTACACAAAAACAACAACTATACAAATGTCTTCATAAACCCAGATATGACAATCTCTGAATGGCTTATCGACAGGCCTTGTTAAGAAATGTTTCCCTATTTACGTACGTATTCACAATTTCATGTACACGTTTCGCAATTTACGTTATGCAAAAGCTTTTTCAATAAGTTTATTTGAAACAGTCTTTTAAAACAGGTTATGCGGAAAACATTAAACTGTAATTAATATTTTTTTTTAATAGATAAAAAAAACAGATAAATATCATTTTTTCTATTTAAAAAAAAAATATATTTTTAATTTATTTTGTTAAATTTAAATTAATTTTATTATTATTCATAGTTTTAGTAATTTATTTGATTAAATTTAATTAAAATTCTTTTAAAATTTTCAAAATGCTCCATTATACAATTTTTTTTACTGATAAAATTTTACAATTTTTTTTACTGATAAATAATGCATTGACGGATCCAGTAATTTTTGGCGGAGGATGTTGAAATATTTTTGAATTTTGTACCATGTTTGCGTCTACTAAAAAAAAAGCAAAAAACAAAGTCCTCAATTTCTATGATATTTTCAAGACTTCTGGTGGTGGTGCGGGGGGAGGGGGGATGCATACCCCCATCCTCCCCCTGGATCCGTCACTGATATATAGTAATGCTTGCTTTTTACTCTTATTTTTTTACTTTTACTTTTTTAAGTATCATATTAAGCAAAAACAATTACTTAATTAATAGTATTAAATACAATACTTGCTCATTACACTGTAACTTTAAATTATAAATTTATAACATTAACTTACGCTATTTTAAACTCGGCCAAACAAGAAAATCATAAGATAACATTTAAATATGAGAGATAGTATGTTAAAAAATAACAATTACATGCTAAAGAGACAGTTTTATACTAACGCTAGCCCCTCCCCCATTACCACACATCGGCGTGAGCTATAAAAGAGAGGGGGGAGCAAAAAAATTTTTTTTTTTCGCGATTAGATTTTTTTGCGTTAATTCGAGCCCTGTCTTAATTTAATTTCTAATAAAATGTCTATTTAACCTTATCAATTTGAACCAAAAAAATATAGCAAAATTAACATAAATGTTAATTTAACTAAAGCATTTCACAATAATAATTTTTTTTATCAAGCGAAAATGAGAATAACCGTGACTTTCGAAACCATGAAAATGACTGAAATAAATTTATTTTTGTACTAAGGAAATATTTTAAATAAACTTTCATGTGTCTACATCAATATTCATTTGTTAAAAACTGACTAAAAAGAGTTTAAATTTGACTTATATTTTTATAATATATTTTCACAAAATGCTACAAAACTTATTCTTGTAAGTAGTTATGTGTTAGTTAAAAAAAAACGACTTTACTTTTAATTTTAATTACCAACTAATACGTTTGCAATAATGACATTTTGTCTATTTTGTTTAATTTGACGTACAAATGT